GAGTACGACTCGCACTTGGCCGGTTTTTTGATAAAACAAAAAAGATGTAAACGTTGTATGACTTTGAAATTAAGTTTGTGTCATATACTTTGAATAATTTGAAATCAACATCACGCATCAGCTACCTTCACGTTTGGGACGGTTTGGAGTAATTTGTTGCACTTTGCTTCAAAATACTATACATATAATGCCGATTCAATTAAGAATAGGAAAGCCAATGACCTCTATCTGTCAAACGTCGCTTGAAAAGTAGGGATTGTAAAAAAAACTTGGAACCCTTTTTTAGCACTCCGCTAATTCAAGAATAAAAACCAAAAATTTGTAAACAAACTATAACAAATATTGATAATTATTTTTTTTTTCACTTATTGAGCTTTTGCCATGAATGGTTGATAACCTAAATCGTCAAACAAATGTCACTTTAAATTGCGTTCAGAAACTCGATTTCAAACTTTCGTTTACATAAAGGATGCATGTTCGTATGTGACCAAGTAATAGTGCATGATTATTTATAACTACTCCGGCGGTATTGCAGAGATGAACGGAATAATAGAGCTATATTCTGATTAATGTTTTTTCTCACAGTTTTAATAAACAAATATTATTAAATGTCGGTGGTTTTTGTTTTCTCTATCTTAGTAAATAAATGTTATTAAAAAAATCTGATGCTTTATCTCAATTAACTTTAGTAAATAAGTTTTATTAAATAAAAACTTTTTTTTGATTACTCTACCTATTTGGTTTGAATTGACAGCTATGCCATCACAATATGGCGTCCAGTCGGTCCTATTCTTAGTTGAATCGCATTATACACTCTTGTTTTTTTTATTTAAGCCCAGCCTAAGAGATTAACTGCCTGTCTACACCTAGCTTGGAACTCATTAATTGGAAAAATGCAGCATCCAAACATGACGCAATAGCAAGTTTCTCTTCTGTGATTTGTGGACCACTCTAGCTCAGACGGAACGACCAGTCCGTAGCTACCTGTGACTTGCGAGACAAAAATTCCAGGTAACAATGACGCTTCGGGACGTTACTACACAAAAAGTTGACTACTTGAAATAATCTTATATATAAAATTCTCGTGTCACAATGTTAGTTACAATACTCCTCCGAAAGGGCCTGACCGATTTTTATGAAATTTTATATACATATTCCGTGGGTCTGAGAATCGGCTACTATCTATTTTTCATATCCTTAAGTGATAATGGTTGTCCACCTGTAACGTAGTTGTCTGAAATCCACAATGCGCCTTTGTGCCAAAATTCATACTATTGGCTACTGTAACGTAGTGTTCTTATATGGGTTAGGAGGAATGTTATCCCAGAAAATTGATAGAACACTACGTTACACACCCCTAAAAATTTTTTTGGATATTTTTTTTTGTCTGGTATTAAAAAATACATACAACCCTAAATTTTCTCATTTACCTCCTGCCCCTATTTTTATGGCGGTATGCAGTTCGCTGAGTCATTCTTGCGGTTTTTTGTATTTAATCATGTCTAAAAGGGGTAAAAGCTTACAAATACGGTAGAAAAGCACTACAGCGCCCTCCAATCTAAATTCCATTCTCTTTCCGCACAGACTCTAACAGGAATCCTAGGTTTTCTATCTTCATGCAAAGTCGCTTTAGGCGATACAGATTAACATGTAACTGATTTATCATGCCTATTATTATTTTAAGCATTAAACTGGTAGATTCCTGTCTGATACGTGGATGGTTGGGTTATTTTCTGGTAAATAAATATTCTGTAGGTAACACTAAAATAGGACCAGTTTTTTCTTTATCACTGTAAAAAAAAGAGTTATTTACAAGATTATAACTCACATCAATTTTCGGCTTGAATGTTTCATATATTTGACACTAAGGTTATTTATTTCTGTGTTGTTATTGGATCCCTCTTCTTTTTCCTGGAGGCTCAAAAACTGACCGCTTCATTTAGAGCAATGCCGCACTTAGCAGGTTCAAAACGAAGAAATTCAAATTCGGTACATAATGTAGCAGCAACAAAAAATATTAGTAGAGTCTGTGCGGAAAGAGAATGGGCGTGGCGAAAACCGGAACTAAAATTAAAATTTTTATTTGGCAATCAAACCCAGCAATCTGTAAAATGTCAAAGTTTTGTATTGATACGGATTTGTTTGTTGTTGTGATTTCTTGCGGTTTTTTGTATTTAATCATGTCTAAAACGATAAATGATTTGATTGATTGATAAAACCTTACAAATACGGTAGAAAAGCACTACAGCGCTCTCCAATCTAAATCCCATTCTCTTTCCGCACAGACTCTATAAGTATCAGGGAAAAAAAAATCTTTACGCGCCGGCAACAATATTCACCGCCAGAAGTAAAACCATGACTGTTAAAAAAGTCAATGAGTAAAATAAAGCTCGATGCCAACTTCACCACGGCATAAATGTTTTCCAAATTCTTTTTATACATATGAAAGCTTGCATTGAAGCTTTGGGAGCTTGTTTTAAAAAACTATTTAACCGCTCCTTGCAACTCTTGCAAGTGCAACCAATCAATTTAATTTAACGATATACAATTAATTTGTATATGGTTATTATTAATTTATTTCTATTCCGACCCAATTAATAAGTTGAAGTAGGTATATGAAAATTATAAGGAATTATTCTCCAGACAAAACCTGCGGGCGAAACTACTACAAAGATATGACATCCCGTAGCATTCGGGGTCATTAAGCTCGCACAAACCAGTTCCGTTCGGGAAGAGCTTTCGTACGTTTTCATCGTCATTCGCCTCATAAACAGTTCACACATTTATTCGTATGTCGAAAAGATATATTTTAAAATATAATGTAATTATAAAATTCTCGTGTCGCGGTGTTTGTGGTTAAACTCCTCCGAAACGGCTTTCCCGATTCTCATGAAATTTTGTGTGCATATTGGGTAGGTCTGAGAATCGGACAACATTTAATTTTCATCCCCATAAATGTTAAATGTAATCCACCCCTAATTTTTTTTTTCAATTTTAGATAAAAATATCTTTTTGAATTTTTTTATGATACATCATACAAAAATACATACAACCCTAAATTTTCACCCTTCTACCACCAACCCCTATTTTTATATGGCGGTACGAAGTTCGATGGGACAGCTAGTTATATATAAAAATCTCGTGTCACAGTATTTGTTATCGAAATCCTTCGTAACGGTTTAATCAAATTTTATGTGTTTTTTTTTGTATAAATTTGGTAAGTCTAAGAATAGGTCGTATCCGTCTGTCCGTCCGTCTGTCTGACTATCGGTCGCTAAGCTGTATCTCAGGACCCGTGATAATCTAATTCATAAGGGAGCATAGAGCGGTCGTCCGCTCTGCATGTTATTTTTAAGTAATTTCATGGAGCAGATCTGCGTGAAGCGGTTGTCCCGTCGAAACTGCATGCGAAGCAGTTGTCCAGGCCGTGCTCTCGCTTAACGCAGCGCAGGTCCTTAGAATTAGATTAGATTCTAAGAAACAGTAGTGACGGATTAGTTTCCGAATTAAACCTGTTGCTTAAAAGGCTTTTACTATCTGCATGGAAAGGCTATATTTAGAACTTTTTCAAGTGAAAATTTCTTCAGCACCGTTAAACCTTGGTATCACTGCCACTCTTAGTCCAATGCATTATATTTTAACCAAATTTTGAGCGAAATTAATATTTCAGTGTAATTTGGTTATTTAATTTGTATATTATGAGAGGTAATTATTTTTTTACAGTGTCATCCTCTTTTTTTTCTAAGCACGAATTTTATTTAAAAATAAAAAAAACATTTAAATTTGTGTAATGTTCGTGTAGAATAAAATTAATCGTTCGACTATTTTTTTTTTGTCAACTCGTAAATATAAGTTTAAAAGCCAGTCTAGAGTTATCCAGAGTTTTCCTTTAATTTTATTTATATGCGTATTAAAAGTAGAAAGGGAGACATACGCCCTTCAATTTTTTTGTGTACCAATAGTAGAAGGGGTCTTTACCATATCTCTAATACAGCTGGGACCTGCTAAGGGTTCTTCATCAGATACTTCAGACCTTCGATGTTTGACATCGAATGAAGCGGCCCACCAAGTTCAATATTTTTGTAAAGGCGGTATGTCAATCTCTTCTAATAGTTTGGTTGGGCTCTTGTGTTTTCTAATCAGGGTCACCGGGCACTCCAGATCTTCGATTATCCTAGTTTTTATAGTTTTTCCTTCATGTGGCTATTAAACCCTAACTCTGTACCAAATTTCAGCTCTCTGAGTTTATGGGAAGTACTAGTTCTATTCTGATGATCATGAGTGAGTGTGTGTCATAAATGCGAAACTTTGCTTTCGCTTAACTTCGGAACTAAATGACCTACAGACTTGAAATTTTGGATTTTAAGCATGTGATTATAGCTTACTGAATGACGAAAATTTATGCGTTCTGGTCTTATCCAGAGGTTCTCAAATAGGGGCGTGAAAATGCGGCGAAATGGTTCCAGTAAAGGATGGTACGGCAGTGTTTGCATCGCGCTCGACTTGGCGGGGGCACTGCCGTGCCCCCCGATAGAAAACTTCTTTTTTGAAATCGGTTCAAAACTAACATTTAGTAAAACATTGTATTTGATGGTCAATAATTTTTAGTTCAGATCATATTATTCAAGAAAAATATATTTTTGTATGAAAAGGAAACACATTTTTGCTGAAAAGTTCTTTTTTAATTATAATGAAACCCATCGATTTCCAAACTAAAACAAGAGTTTTGTTTCTTATCGTATAGGAATGAATAAATCAACACGCACCCCGTGTACTGTTGTAGGGTTGGGACGGGTTCCATACAAAATCTCCCATGGTCCTTTGGAAACTAAAATTATAATTGTCCTTTTTAAAACATTCCTTCGGACATATAATACCAACAAGTTGTTAGTTTTTTTTTATCAAAACCTTGTCAGTTCACTCCTACATGGTTAGGTTACTCTGCTCCCATTTCTTAGTAGTTTTGGGGGGCATTCCTCTTTTTCGAACATCTCATCAAACTATGAATCCTTCTTATCCTGTTGAAGTGGTAATGTTTCGTCATCGAAGTACACATGTCCCACAAGCACGGGCTCTGCACCTTTCTGCTCGCGTCCTTGGTAGTCCAACATCAACTCTTTATTCCCCAACTCCTCAGCCAATGCCGTGAACAGTTGCCTGGTTTATGATAAAATAAAAGACAGATTAGTTATAAAAATGACACTACTTTAGCTCAAAATTGGGGATGTATACTTTCATTGATCATAAATAACGATTTTTAAGACGTTGGTGCTGTCACCGCGATTAAATCGTGCTACTTAGAATAGGTTTCAAATTACAGTATAATCTCACTAATTCGGCACTTCAATAGATCGGCACGTCCAATAATCCGGCAACCTCCGCCCATGCCTCCCTCGCCCCTCTACACCTGTACGCTTGGATTTGTTAGTGGTTGGTAAAGCAAAAAATCCCCGAGCTTTCAAGAACATTTGTCTGCCAGTCTGCTACAAGAATCAAATTAGAAGTTGGGTCACGAGAGAAGTATTCAGCGAATGGTTTCATAATGACTTTGTCCCAGAACTCATAAACTTCTTATGAAAAGATCCAACTTGCCCATAAAAGCATTTGATTTGTTCAATACCTTAATACCTGCATAACGTGGGCAGAAGAAAACGGCATGTCCACCAAAGATATTATAATTCTTCGCAACATGCGAGAAAAGGTTGTTAAGCAAGGACTACAAGTTGCACAAAAGCAGACCTCAATTAAGGATTATTTTAAAACTATGTAATTCCATATGTATGCACTTATTAAATTAATACATTACATACATTAAATTTATTCCATCTATGAAATGCTTTATTTTATTCGTTACCTACGACTTTTTCACTATAATCTAGTAATCCGAACATTCCAATAATCCGGCACCCTCCGGTTTTTAATAGTGCCTGATTAGTGAGATTATACTGTACTTATATCTTACTCACTCGAACACGACTGACTTCATGTTATTGCCAAGGTAATTGAGGAACAGCCAGTCGGCGAACTGGGTGCCGTGGATAACGCGGATCACGTTGTTGAAACCTAAGTTTCCCGCGCTGTGGAACCCCATGAAGCTGAAGCGGTAGGAACGGCGATACAGGAAGAACGACACCGCTCGCCAGATCACGGCTGCAAAGAAGCCAGCATTACAAATTGGGAATTCACGCTGAAGTAAATGGTGTTGAAGGTAGGAAGAACGGTGCCTCTCGCCTAGCACAGCTGTAAACAATACAGCATATGAAATATGGGAAGATATTTAACCTTATATTGTTTTAAACTTTCATGGTTTGACGTTGCAAACGCCTACTGTTTACTTCTATCGGACTCTTACTCCGTGCTCATGGCGCTTGCATCAGTGCCGAAATATCGGAGACTCATAAAAAAGAAAAAACAAAGTACATGGTAACAATCCCGTTAATAGCTATAACATTTAATCTTGTTACAAAATACTATTATACGACCTGGGTAAAAAAACTTGCGTAAGAAATCTGGGAAGCTGCTCTGTGGTGACTGAAGACCAAAGAAGAAATATAGTAAGTGCGAGGAAAATGGCCTGCTATTTCTTAGTTATTTAAAAGTAACTTACCATTCTACCAGATGCTCCTTCTCATCCCTTTAAAAAAATGCAGAGTAAGAGTAAGTAGGAAGACAGAAAAATCTATTTCCGACACACCTCTATAAATAAATGAATCACAAAATTTCTTCGATCGCGTTTCAATGGCAACCTCAGACCATGATATGCATGTATCACATGGAATGAAGGGAATCCACGAAGTCCATCGAGTAGAAGTAGATCAAGTCGAAATAAACTCACCCAATAACGATGCAGTGAAGAGGAAAAGAAGCCAGAACCAGAGAGTGGTATAGATCTTCTCGTGGATGATGTTGAGTGCCATCACGCACAACGCGTCGTGCTGCTGGATGGACCCGCTCGGACCATACTTGTGGAATATGCATTTTGTTACCTGTACCCAAAGGTATACTATTTTGCTTGATTATATTCAAATGTAATGTATTCAATTAATTCCATCCATAGGGAAGGCCTGTGCCCCAGCAGTGGGGGCATTAATAGGCTGATGATGATGATGATATTTAAATGTATTACATAAACTGAGTTATACATCATAATTACTGAACTAAACACTCCAATGCCAGCAACATAGTTTTCCGCGCAAATACTTAGTAGAAACCACCAACATCTCGATTCTGTTTCCAAACAACAAAAGATGAAATAGCATTTATTACAAAAAAATAACTCATTTCCTAATAACATTAAACAGATGACACACTGTCTGTGTCTACCATTATAACTTTTTACTATCTCGGAACTGCTGAAAGAAATTACTACACCCAAGACATTAAGAAGGTTTTTTTGAGTGAAGCATAATTCATAAATTTAATAAATTAAAAATATCTCGTGTACCTTCGGAAACACAGTCTCCAAGGGATCGGCGATGTTGTTCCAGTTCCTGAACTCCAGCACCTTGAGGCCGAGGTCATAGAAGTGGCCGTTGAGGAATTCATTGATTAACCAGATCTGGAAGGTTACATTTAGCAAGTTCACCACTTCCATCGCCACGAGCCACGTCGACCACGTGCGGGATAACCTCAATCTGAAATGTATCTCTCAATATAAGTACCTACACGATACCCAGCTGTATCAAATGGGCGGAAAAGTTGAACCTGGTCCAAGTGCACTTTGATTGGACGCAGATATCAACAGGATTGCGGTAGTCAAAAGCTATAATTAAAACTGCTAGACGCTGTAAAACCCAGATCTAGGGTTAGGGCTGGTGCCACTTGGAGTACTTTATCGCCTCCTTGCATAAGGTAAAGTTCCCCCTTTGAATAGCTAAACTAATTCTTTGTCCAAGGTAGCTGCCAGCTCTTCGGTCTCCAGTGATGTCGACTTAGATTAATTCTGTACAATTACAATAAAAACACCTTCCTCCAGATCTAACTTATATTATTACAAAAATAAAAACCCAGTTCATCAAGAACTAAACCACTAAAATTAAGAAAAAATATTATCCTTACTGAAATATAAAGAATATTTACAGTAAAATTAACATTTGAAATCGATCTTGACCCAAGTATTTAACAGCACGTAAATGGCCATTCAGATCTTTAAGACACCGACCTACACATTAATATAAAATCTCAATAAACACTTACTTTTGGTGATGTTGTGTTTCTGTCCGTGAATAAGGTTCCATGGTTCCACGGCTCAGGGTAGGCAACGCACGGTAAGACTGAGCGCAGATTAGAGTCACGACAGTCTCAAGACAGACTATTGCTTAACAAAAATTATGAAGATGCGCATATTTCAAACGAAACGTCTCATAGACAAAAACGTCTTATGTACACAAGAACTGCGCAGCGACAAGTCTGACTGTCCGCTTCCCATTGTAATGTATGCGAGGGTGCACACCAACGACAAAATTGTCTAGCGATTAGAGATGATATAATCGATACCGAAAGAAAGTATACAATACATACGATAAAATAAGTAATATGTGGATCCATAAATATTAACAAATTATAGACACATTCATTCGAAATTACTGGAAAACCTTTCTGGGGAGGTGCCTTAATTTACTATATATTAAATAATCGGTGAAATCTTTTCTGCTGATACTGATGAAATGGTGTGTGTCGCATCGTACACAAAACAGATTGGTAGACACAACTGTTTATTTTAAATTAAAAATTGTCTTGTCTATGTGAGACAAGACAGTCTTACAACTGTCGTGACTCTAATCTGCGCTCAGTCTAAGAGTGATTGATATTTTTGATATCCAAAATGTCTATAGAATATGGGCGCCTACCATCAGGCGGGGGATAAGCTTATTTGCCACCCTTTTAAAATAAAACAAACAATGTGAAGTTAACAAAATAAATTTAGCGACATTACCGCAATATGATGTCTTCCTTGATAAGGTTGATCTTTTTGTCGAGGGTCATTTTGGATGGCACCTCTCTCTCACCTAACTTCATATCGTTGTCTCCAAGAGCCAAGGCGGAGTACTGCAGTCCGTCCACTAGAGCTTTTATTCTGCCTCCTACACAAAGTCATAACATTTGGATTCTATAGAAACTTAAAACAAACACCAGTGGACTAGATGATTTAAACAACGCAACGGGGGGGTTACCTTCCAAGGGGGGAAACGGTTTAAAATTGAGATTTTCGGGAAAACTGTAACTTCTATCGAAAAAGAAATTAACGGTAAAATAGGGTATTTGACAAGTTTTAGAAAACGATCTCATGTTATTTACTAAAATGTTTTGTTCATAGAGTCCATAAAAAGTGGATATTCATCATTATGTTGTGTATTTCGGTAAAAAACCAAATGAAAAACTCTATTTTCAAGTTGCCGCGAAAAACGTATCTCTGGACAAAATGGCGTCTCACTGGTGTGTGACGTCATACGACTGTCATTAAAACGTCAAACCATATAATCAAATGTCTCTTTAACCTGAAGTTTACTTGCGTGTGACGTCATTTTAGACTCCACCAACTTGGCACTTTATTTTTAAAACTGTCAAATACCCTATTGTAGGTAGATAAAAATTATTCTTTTCATGAAATTTGGTGAAAACTTACCTTCTTATGTCCCAAACAAGGGCTTTTTATTTCGATTTAAAATATTTATTTCTCCAATGAAGTACATTAATATTATTGCAAAAAAATAACCTTATTTTCAATCAAAAAACCCCTGTCAAAAAGTTTATCTTATATATAAAATTCTCGTGTCACAATGTTAGTTACCAATACCATACTCCTCCTAAACGGCCTGACCTATTTTTATGAAATTTTATATGCATATTCCTTGGGTCTGAGAATCGGCTACTATCTATTTTTCATATCCTTAAGTGATAATTGTTGTCCACCTGTAACGTAGTGTTCTGAAATCTACAATGCGCCTTCGCGCCAAAATTCAAGCTATTGGGTATTGTAACGTAGTGTTCTCATATGGGAGGAATGTTATCCCAGGAAATTGATAGAACACTACGTTACACATTTACGGGGGTTGAAGGACTTGCAGTTGCAAATAGTCTCGTCTTACTTCGTTGTGATTGTGCGCTCCCTGTCTCTTGATTGATGTTAATCTAACACGCTTTGGACATTGGAACACGATTATCGGTTTTGTCAATAAGTATGGATGAAAATTATGTTTTCTCCGAGGCGTGGATAAGTTTGTTAGATTTGAGGTCGCTGCGTTTTACATAGAAGACCAATTTACTACAAGGAACAGATTGTTTGAAAAAACCCCAACCCATGCGGGGATTTTTGGGTTTACTCTAGCGCGCCAGAATAACTTAAGGGGACATCTTGTGAAGTATTCCCATAATACCTGAGCCCTCTATGTAGAGGAATGGACTAGGGAATTAATTTAGTTTGTTAGTTCGACCAACTAACAAACTAAATTAATTCCCTAGTTTCATTAATGTTCGTTCATTATAGGACTTGTACCTAATTAACTTAAAATAACTAAAGACCCCCGGGATGGAATTTGATGCGCTTTGGCACAGAGGATCATGACTATAATACCTTTCAAACAAATGTAGTTTAAGCCGTGGCGGACGTGGGTGCAGTGTCCATACATTTTTGCCCATTGTCCTTTACGAAAAATTAATCATCAAACAGCGTTCCCGTACGTTTCCCGTTGACAGGGAATTAAAGTACGCTTCACACATATCAATTTAAAAGGTACTTAGCAACAAAATCTTTTTTTTCCGTAAAAACGAAACACACCTTTTGATTTGACTAGTGAACTTCACGCTGATGCTCGGTAACGCCACCTCGCGTGTGTTATTTTGAATTTGATCATTGATCGATATCGACCGCATTCACGGAATAATTTAATAAACGTCAGACACCATTTGAATAGTCAAAATATGAAGAAATGAAATTGCTATTATTATATTTATACGTATATTCTTGATATGATGATTTTCAAAGCTAATATTAAAATATGTTATGTATTATTTATAAACATTTTTGACTTGATTAAACTATGAAACATGATATAAGGACGCATTCCCGGAATGACTATTTTGACCTTTTTCTGTTTAGATTAAATAAAACATTAGTATAAAAAGATAAATACGCTAAATGCCGTTAATTATGCACAGAACCTTTATTTTGAAATAATTATTTTAGTAATATCATGTTGTTTTATTCAGAAAAACTTTGTCAGAAGCATAATGCTCAACTCTCTGATTTTGACCTATATACCTAATTTTCATGTTTTTATAAAATGTCGACAAATTATAAATAAATTTTTTTGATCACTTATTTCGACTGCGGCCTTGAAAGCCTCTATTCATATACATATAACTCCATCAGAGGTTGAATAAGTTCGTTGCCAACACTTTATAAACTTTTAATTACTTAAAGTCGATATATAGCGGAATTTCCTTCCTAATTGCCTTAGCTTCCACCTTACACAAGGTCACAGTAAAATAACACTACTTATTTGTGGTGTTGTGTGTCTGTCGGTGCGTTTCCCGTGGCTTCACGGGGTAAGTGATTAGATCAGGGTAGTGGTGAACTGTGAGAGTGATGTTTTTGGTATCGCAAGGGTCTATAGTCTATGGTGACCGCGTACCATTAGACGGGCCTTACACGTGGTCACCCTCTTAACAAAAAAGCCCAAAAAACCAAAACCCAAAAAACCAAAACCCAAAAAGACGTCACCACAGACTAATTTTATCTACAACACCACCAGAGACGAAACAAGGGCTTAGCCAACACTGTATAAACTTCCTTAGCTCATAGAGTTCTGGAAGTCCTCATTTAGAGCTAAGTTACCACTCATTACTCATGTATATAGATGGGCGTTTTTAGATATTTGTGAAATCGATGTGCATCGGTATCAAATAAATCGCATCGGATCCGTGCACCGTTCCGGCATCGTAGTATCACTAACTTTTCAGTGCAGGTGGCAAAAATTGGAACTAAAATTTATCCATAGCAATGTGACATTTTTAGGACATATGTGTTCACCGCTAGCGACATCTTCACCGGCACAGATAAGTTTGTGGCACCGTTGCTATAGTAACGTTGACGAAAACTAGATGGCATCGGCATCCAATAACGGCATCCAGTCGCATCGGATGCGCGCATCCAAACCTGGCATCGTTATTGCGCATCGTTATTCTAAAAACGCCCACCTCTATTCATGTAGTTCGTTTGTAGAGTGGAAAAAAAACCGCACCTCCGGTGCGACACTGTCACTTATGCAAAAACATTTTTTTTTTGGGTGAGCGTTTAAACCTTTAACATCCCAAAACATACAATATTTAAAGATTTTTACGTGATGAAAAGCTTATACAGCTTAGCTATTCATCTAAAAAACTAATTTTTTTTTGAAGTTATACTTCTTTAGGCGCGTTATGAAAAAATGATGGGAGTGAAATTTTAAAATGCGCGCGCATCACTGTAACACAAAATTTTAACAGAATGAAGTTGGTCGCTTTAGCGACCAACTTCATGCGTTACTTTTGTGTTTACCGCACATTAAGAAAATCTACCAACAAAATAGAAATAGAATCTCTATTTAGTGGGTGCTAACGACTGCATTGTGAATGCCTATCAAAAGTATTTATTAATCTGGAACAACGGAACCAAAGCGCGATTCAGGAGACTACAGCGCCATCTCTTGACCATTGGTGTAGTAGAACCAAAAACCACATCTTTATTTTTTGTAATAAAGTAACAGTTATAGGTATTCATATTTATAATATTTATCCACATGTTTCTAGTTTGTATATTCGGAATACGTGTTTGAGTTTCATACAAGTGCAAATCACATATGTTCTAATAAATTATATTCAGTAGCGATTTTAATTGAATATTTTGATTATTTATTTCATTTTTCAAATTAAAACTGAACTTTATTGACTGTGTCCTTTTCCAGACTTTTTATTAATTTATTGTAATTAATTATTTGCATGCAATTAAAAACTAATTTTAAACGATGCCAAAGAAGGATAACTTCTCACGCGCCTACATAAGTACACGCACCCATTTTTTTTTTTAAATATTGTATGTTTTGGGATGTTAAAGTTTTAAACGCTTCTTCTGAAAAAATGATTTTTTTGCATAAGTGACAGTGTCGCACCGGGAGCTGCGAAAAGTAAGTCAGTAGATGTGTGCTCACCTTCATTGAGTTTCCAATAGTAATGTGGAATATAAAAGCAGATGCTTTGAAAGACCAACACGAACGGCACCCACAGGTAATATTTATGATGCGAAACCTGGTCAGTCTCCGATATCGGGCCGACACCGGGGTGCGGTAGGAACCCCGACTGCAGCAGGCTTTCGTTATAATGCCGGACCTGTAGGTGACAAATAAATATTTAACATTAACAACATGTACTGAACAATAAGCAGTAATTGTAAGCTCCACACTATAGCCCGCATCTAAAGTTCGTGGTTGAGGGAACGCGTGTAGTGCATAACTTTAACACGAGATTTAAAAACAAGCTTGCCGTTCCATGTTTCAAACTCCAAAAATCAAGAGGTTCATTTCTGGGATGTAGTATTGCATTGTTTAACAAAGTTCCCCAAGATCTGATTGAGCTTCCACTAACCAAATTAAATCTCGGATCAAGAATTCTCTTATGAATAAGGGCTATTATAAAGTTAACGATTATCTAAATGATCGTAATGCATGGACATAGTGTTTCTTGTAATTTGTTATTAGATGGGTATGAGTCAGTTTTTGTAACAGTAATATGGTACCTATCTAATGCCGCTTCCTATATACTAAATATAAAATTATTATTGTAACTTTATCTATATCCTAAATAATGTAATGGAAGGTGACTTCAGAAGTATCTCTGAAGTCATTTTTCAACTTGACGACTCTGTATATATCAATACAGGGAGAAAAAAGCAGCCCTTGCTGAGTTTCTTGCCGGTTCTTCTCAGTGCAAGGTCTCCCGCCGTAGTTTTGCGAACCGATGGCGTAGCTTCTTGACCTTCACAAGTGCTTGTAACAGCCTAGACTGAATAAATGCTTTTTCATTTCATTTCATTTCAGTGGAGGAGAATTTTATGTGCAGAAGTTCAATGGCGCAGTGGCTAGCGCGTTGGGTCTACGATTGTGGAGGTTAAGCAACTTTTGAGCATGATTTGGCTGTCCCTATTTTATTATTTCAGCCTCAAACATCAAGAGGCGTTAAATAAAACAAGTTTAAGCGGTATAGATGCACAGATTTATTTATTTTTGATGCCGGTCGTCAGAATTATGATTTTATTTAGCTTCCTTCGAAAGACTTTTATTGAGCGTTCGGATATTTCATTGGAAGTTTTTTAAAACTTTATGGTCTATGTATGAATTTGTTAGCTAATTTGATTAATAAAGTACTTTCTTTAAGTCTTTTTTTATAATTTAAAGTTTATTTATTTGACCCTAACTACTGTAAACTACCGCCAGTTTCAAAATTGGTTGGCCTTGGAGAAGGCGATGTTTTAGCTTTATAACACTGAATATTTGCAATATTGTTATATTGAGTGCACATGTACACTGCATGTACGTCAAATTATGACTAAAGCGAATTGTGTTCATGCAGTTTTTTTTTGAGTGTGTATGCATGCCGATATAGGTCGCAGATGACCTTTACAGCGTCACCGGGCTTGGTGATGGCGAGATCCTAAAGGGACCTCAAGGCGAGAATTGGCGAGTGCCTCTAGAGGTATTTTAGGCGGAAGGCATCTCGCAACCGGGGGAGTCTCGTCTCCGTCTGGAGCCTCTAGACCACTCCAACCTGAGGGGTCGGTTCAACTAGAGGGCGTCTCCGAGACTTGAACCTAGGCTCTTGTTAACCGTTGTCGTGGCGGGTTGTTCATGCACAATTCAAGCAGTAACCTTTTTAGCCGCAAGTGCCTTTTTTCCTTTTTGTTTTAATCCAAGGGCCGATTTTTCAAAACTCGGGTAAAACCTAACTTTTCAATAAATTAATACGCGATGTCATCTGTCACATTACACCAATGAACACAAGTTAACTCTTTATTTTGTCCGTATAATACAATATCAGACAGATTTTTATCGAGTGTTCGAGAAATCAGCCTTAAGTTTTATATATTTCTCAACGACGAGAGACAAGAATTCTCGTGAGAACGGCTCCTGTAGAAGACCCGAAACGTCGATTTTACAAAACTATTTAAAAGCACTTTGGAAATAAAACCGATTGAAAAACTGTTGTAATAAACAAATCTTATATATGAAATTCTCGTGTCACAATGTTAGTTACCATACTCCTCCGAAACGGCCTGACCGATTTTTATGAAGTTTTATTTGCATATTCCGTGGGTCTGAGAATCGGCTAATATCTATTTTTCATATCCTTAAGTAATAATGGTTGTCCACCTGTAACGTAGTGTTCTCAAAACTACAATGCGCCTTCGCGCCGAAATTCAGACTATTGGGTATTGTAACGTAGTGTTCTCATATGGGTTAGGAGGAATGTCATCCCAGGATATTGATAGAACACTACGTTACACACCCCTCAAATTATTTTTAGCCAATATATATTTTTTTATAATGTGGTATTAAAAAATACATACAACCCTAAATTTATTTTTATGGCGGTACGAAGTTCGCTGGGTCAGCTAGTATTATAATAAATATTCTACAGTCTACTTACGATAGTTAATGTACCCACAAAGAAGCAGTAGGTCTTAATGACCTTATCTGGAACTCCCTTGTCTGATGTGCACTCGATATTGGAGCCGAAGTACTCCCTCGCGCAGACCAGGAACATGGAGGCCAGCAGAATGGCCACCGTCACCTTGTAGTGCAGTTTGAAAACGAGATTGTCTATCGTCGGCTTCGAATATGAGAACTTGAGGTGCGACGAGAGCTCCCTTATAGATGTAAAAAGCTTTCCGGCTGGTGAAGCGGTTTTCACTTCAGGTTTACCTGCAAAGAGAAATAGATCTAAACTAGCAAACCAGTGAACCAAATGTTCACCAAAACCTGATTTAAAAAAAAAAGTATTTAATTAATTGAGAACTTCGGAAATTATGTGTGGTTTCGTTTGAAATTCGTGATTTCTCGAAAGCCGGAAGTGCTACGTTACTCAAATCTGGTTTGTAGTCTTATCAGACTATTCTTAACTTATAACTTAAACATTCTCTTTATCTATCTCTTACGGTATGGCCGCTGAAACAGCACCACAGACAGACGGACGGACGGACTTGTCTAATAGATAAGAGATATTTTTTGTTGTGAAATCCTTTCGGTTAGAGGGGCGGGACACGGCTGCGGTGCCTGTGCGAGATGAAAGATTTTTTTTAATTACAAAATACTGTAGAACTTCATAACAGTACCCCTAGCACGAACTAATATCGAATTCGTATCGTTTGCGAGTCCGATTGTGCCGCTGCTGTTCAAGTTTTCATACAAAATTTGACATCGACATTTCGTAAAACTAGTTTTTACGGGTTAATGCACGAAACTTTATTTATTTATTGACGTTTCGCAGCCTTTTCAGGTCTGCATCGTCAGAATAATGATTTTTTATTTAAAATTGTCGAGCTACCTTCTATTTATTCATATTCATTTTAAATAAAAAATCATTATTCTGACGATGCAGACCTGAACAGGCTGCGAAACGTCAATAAATAAATAAAGTTTCGTGCATTAACCCGTAAAAACTAGTTTTATTTAATGAGTGATGTGCGTGAAAACCTAAGAAACAAATATCGACATTTCGGTTTGCAAACTATTCAAATTCGATAATGGTTCGTGCTAGGGGTACAGAGCTCAACTCAAACATAACGCCTTGTTAAAAAAGGTTATTTATTGCAGTAAAAGTCAAACGTTGATACATATATATTTAAAAAAAAAAATGGTTGCCTGTAAAGTCGGTTTTACGGGCGAAGATTTTACGTGACAACGTCTTTTTCTCGGTAGAATATTTATTGATATGAATATAATTAAATTGCACAATAGGAACAAGGAATTGAATGAAAATAAGAATTGCACAAATTTTAACTATAGAAATATATTTTGTTTACTAAAACATTGTACATGTAAACTTAAACTTAACACGAGAGACTCATCGTAACGTTACCGAGCGTTACACTTTTTCATAAGTGACTCCCAGCCGCAACCTAATTTAAGACGTTGTCACGTCAAAAAAACACGTTATGTATTTTATAATAAGTATTATAATAACTAAGTGTGCCTACCTAAATATTTTCACTACTGTCAAGACTCTATGCACACCATGTTTTTGACGTGACAACGTCTTAAATTAGGTTGCGGCTGGGAGTCACTTATGAAAAAGTGTAACGCTCGGTAACGTTACGATGAGTCTCTCGTGTTAAGTTTAAGTTTACATGTACAATGTTTTAGTAAACAAAATATATTTCTATAGTTAAAATTTGTGCAATTCTTATTTTCATTCAATTCCTTGTTCCTATTGTGCAATTTAATTATATTCATATCAATAAATATTCTACCGAGAAAAAGACGTTGTCACGTAAAATCTTCGCCCGTAAAACCGACTTTACAGGCAACCATTTTTAAAACGTATCGTCTATGATGTTTTAAAGATCTAGATACGTCATAGATGCTTCGAATTTGGCAATACGAAAGTCAGGTAATTCCCGGTCCTGAGTTCGTTTCTAATAGGCAGATGTTTGTGTGATGAATACGAGCATTTGTACTCCAGTCATGGAAGTTTAATATGTATGTGTATTTCTATATAAATATACTCATATATGTATAGTATATGTATTCTATCTGTTACCCTAGTATCCCATAACACAAGCCTACAGTGCTTACTTTGGAGCTGGGCTAATTGGTGTATGTTAAAAAAATTAGATCATTGAAATGCAGGGTGTTACAAAAATACAAATAAAGCTTGAAGGGCGTTGAAGTACATCATTCTCTTAAAATATTTGCCTGAAGTTTTAACTTTTTATAAAAACAGTTATTTTTCCCAAATTTTCTTAAAATATTTGCATGAAGTTTTAACTTTTTATAAAAACAGTTATTTTTAATGATGATGTACTTCAACGTCCTTCAAGCTTTATTTGTATTTTTGTAACACCCTGTATATCGTAATCATGAGTGTTTATGGCACACTGAAAGTGTGAATTACAAGAATCGTGATGCACGTAATGCTGCACTACAGCAATTTGCTCAGGAATTTGGAGTTGATGGATTCGGAACTAAGATATAATAAAAATGCGTGAGTGTCGTGGAACACTCGGTTGGAACGAAGATAATAGAAGATTATTTACTAAGGGGAAAAATTATAATTGTAAAGGCGAAAGCGTTTTCTGAATCTACAGTAGGATTTCATAGATAAAAGATTGTACACATTTTTTAGCACAATTTCTTCAATTTTTTCAATGTAGTGAAGAAGTCGTTATTTTTTTAAGAATTTGAGCCCCTAATAAACAGATGAACGAAGGCGAAATATATTTCGCGCGTTTGTATTTTTAACACGCTTTTATCAGGTCACGGTAATATTATCTATACAGTATTGCGACTCGGCCCTGTCCTTGAAATAACTGCCTACGGCCGAGCGGGGCGTATCCATGCGGTAGGGCTGCCCGCCTACAGTATTTTAATTGAATCTACATAGGTAGTTGAGTTTCTTTCTAGTTTTGTGATTGTAAATATTTTATTTCATGTGTAAAAAAAATGTTGTGAATAAATTACGAAGTGTAACATAAAATACATGTTATTTTAAGTGTAATATTTAATAAAAAAAAAATATGTTTGAGACAGAAAAATATTTACGCCTCGATTGAGACGATCGAAAAGCTTTATTATTAAATATAATAGTATAATAAATACGCATTCGTATAAAAAGTTTAATTATTGAAGAGTTCAAGTAACCAAAAATAGCACAATATCGACTAGTGCTCTTTGCCATATTAAATTACTTATGTATGTATCTACTTAATTCAATCAAATATTCACAATACAAACGTTCAAGCACGGCTAACTGCTTCAAAAACAATTCACACCGTTCGGTCGTCGCTGCACTGGATGCCCACCGGGTGCCGCGCGAACTCGAGTGGCGTAGGCGTAGGTATGACACGCTTTCCGACCGTTTGTATGAAGATAGAATACTGTATAGATAATATTACCGTGCTTGCAACGTGTAAATGGCACTTTAGTGCACTCTATTGGTGGCTGTTGCCAAGGAAAGTTGGGGCGGCGACTACTTGTGCCATTCTAAAATACAATAACTAAATTGTTGGCGTATAACCTTCATATTATAAGTCATTGCGTGCCGTCGACGCGCGTTCGTAGCGATGTGCACACATGTGCGTGTGTTTCGATACAAACGACAATAAACTGCTCTGTGAGATAAAAGCGAACCGTCGACGCGCCTTTTCAAAACGCGCGTCGTCGTCGGCGCGTTTTAAAAACGTAGTGTGCATAGGTTCGATTGACAGTTTTTTATGGTTCCGTTGTTGACTAACAACAAAATAAGATAGATATAATTATTATTTTATTAAGCATGTAACTTATTGATGTTTAGTAAATATAGTTTAAGGCATTAAATTGGCATTTATAAAATGGAAATAGCGCAACGCCTACAAACTGTGAAAACAGTTCGGCGATAAATGTGTTTTGTAAACTTAGATTATTGTTAAATTGGAATAAAGAAAAAATACCTTTATGGTATCGCTATGTACATCCATCAGCTTTGCTCAGATGCTATTAGTACAAGCACACACTGTAATTTAGTATTGGATTTTCCTCAGGGGAAGTAATCGTATGTGGTTGAGATACTCTAAACAAATTGTGTGTTCTATGCTTAGATTAAAACAAAAAGGATAGATACGGTACGCTCATACTTGCATCAAACAAAAACTGATCCCACGGCAGTGCGAACGGGACGGCGAGATCCGCGTCACTGCATTACCGACCCGAACGAAACAGCACGTTAAGTTTCAACGGCAGCGCGAACGAGACGGCGAGATCCGCGTCACTGCACTACCGAGCAATCACGCGACCAGTACTCGACGTCACTACCGAATAAGATTCAAAACAAACAGCAATTTTTATGAAAAAATATATTTTATAGTACTTACGAATGAAAAGTGATGGGTTTTATTTTTAATTCTTGAGCAATTTGAGCACTTTTTAAAAACATACTTAGGCATTGTTTTATCATACAAACACAAAATATTATCAATATTTCTTTTTGGCGTTTACATGTACGTCGTTTGCATGTCAAGTTGTGACTAAAGCGATTAGGGTCGTGGACCACAATTTGTGCGGATCACTTTTGTGAGGCTAGTGCCGTATCTACCCTTTTTGTTTTAATCTAAGGTCCTCCCCCCAAAAAAGGCTTATACTATATTAATAATAACTAATACTATTGACTTAAAAGACCTGGAAAAATTCATGATAACAGTTCTTTTCATGAACTTTTAAGGAAAATTGTAATGGCTAAGATAGATTTGTTAGTTTAAGAGTAAAGAAAATTTCTTACCTTTCGGTAATTCCTTAGAAGAAGACATTATTTTGTCTAAATATAAAAAAAATATTTTGTCTTCATACACCTAATTGTTGTTTTCTCTTGATCACTGAACAAATACCTCGCGTTAATGAGCGACACTAAAAATTTTATAATTTTGTACGACTGCGCTCGCTCAACTCACTTTCACACTGACAGATTAAAATGATAAGATACTTAAAATTAGTGATAAAAATATATATTTAAAATTAGTGATAAAAATATTATTACAGGTGTATTGTGTTAAAATGATTTAAACGCATCCTTCTCAAAAAAATGTGTGCGTGTACTAGTGTACACACGTAAGAAGTGAAACTTCTTTATGGCCTTATTTTTCGAAAAATGATCTACATGCAACTTTCCAGAAATTGGTTAAATAAAGTTAAATTAGATAAAGTTTAAACAAAAGGATTTTATTATCATAGACATGAATACAAATTACTGCCTATGAAACTGTTATGATTACACGGCTCAGTAATCTAAGGCACATGTTCCACCTCCGATGATGAACGATAAGCGAGTAGAAACTAGAAACGAATTGGCAGTCCTGAGTTAAAATGCACGCGCACGGCTTTTGACAGCCAAGCCAGCTTAACCGAGCGAGTATCGCTGAGCTAGTATCGCTGAGCGAGTATCGCTGAGCGAGTATCGCTGAGCGAGTATCGCTGAGCGAGTACCGCTGAGCGAGTATCGCTGAGCGAGTATCGCTATGCGAGTTTGGCTGAGCGAGTTTGGCTGAGCGAGTCTTATCTTTAATAACTATTGTCACTCAGCTACAAACGAGTAGAGAGAGTTCTCGCCGGCGACAGTGTGATCATTCAGCTATCAACTATTAATATAAAAAAAGATGGCGCGTAACGGAAAAATGTGACGCGTAACCGAAAAATGTGACGGTAAATTTTTTTCCAACGCCGATAAAGAAGTATCACTTCAAAAAAAATTGTCTCGTCTTATTGGGAAATACATAAAAACCCTTTGTAGAATCAAAGGGTTTTTTACCGTGTTCCAAATTTCCAACGCTTGAAAATTCATCACCGTTGAAGGAACTTAATTGCTTTCAAGTAGCGTAATCATTTGCAGACTTGACAGTTTTCTATTGCCCTGTAAAAACCCAGAATACGAAATAAGTCTAGTCTTTTTTCGTACACAAGTAATTGCCAATTGCCTATTGTTAACCTTTAAAATCATTTTCCACACTTTAGGCATTTCCAATAAGGGAGCTAAGAAGGGAACAGACGGAGACACATACCATACTCTCATTATAAAGACGACCTCCGCGGCCGAGTGGCTCGTACGCTAGGTTTCATGATGTCGCCGATTCGAGAGGTCTGGTTCGAATTCCGGTGGGGGCAGATGTTTGTGTGATGAATACGAGCATTTGTACTCCAGTCATGGATTTTAAATATGTATGTCTATATAAATATACTGATATATGTACAGTATATATAATCTATCCGTTACCCTAGTATCCCATAACACAAGCCTTACAGTGCTTACTTTAGGGCTAGAATAATTGGTGTGTGTTCAAATAAATGAAAAACGAGCGAGCCTTACAGTAGTGGCGTATGATGTGTAACATTTGAAACCTCTTCTGCTTCTTCTTCCAGTGCCTCTTCAATCCTGAAGGTTGGCCGTTAGCTTCCTGTATTTATCTCTATCAGCAGCCAGCCGGAACAGCTGTTCGACGGAGGCAATACCGGACCCCTCCCGGATATTCCGAAGCCATGAGTTCTTTCTTCGCCCAGCACGTCTCTTTCCGTCCACTTTGCCCATCATTATCAACTGCAGCAGCATGTATTTATCGTTCCTGAGCACGTGGCCGAGATATTCTATCTTGCGCTTTTTGATTGAAGGCAACATTTTCCGGGACATATGAACGCGCTGAAGCACGCTTTCGTTCCTGACCCTCTGCGTCCAACTAATGCGTAACATGCTACGGTAGGACCACATCTCGAATGCCTGTAGGCGTCTTGTTGTGTCTGTGTGTGTGTAGAGGGAAAGAGAGCCACAGGTGACACGGGATGACTAGGGCAATGTCCGAGCGACCAGGTCACTTGGACATCTCTCTATCCCGGAGCGCCGACCGCGGTGAGACACAGCGACCTGTCGCCCTTAGAGGGCTCGCCGCTAGTGGCAGGAGGATCGCAACGCCTGCTCCCCATGACATGGCCGGCCGGCAAGTCCATGCATACATGGCACAGATTCGCCGCTGCCTCCAATCGATGGTTGATGGGCATCTCTGAACAGCCTGCACCTTTCCCATGCACCTTACGTACGACAACAGCCAAATCAAATAAAATGAATATTATTTGTATAAAAAGCGTACTGCATCTGGCGCCTCGTATTTACAATAAGATTCCTGATTCTTTGAAACAATTACATTTGACTATTTTTAAAAGAAGACTGCGTAAACTTTTGATTGACAAATGTTATTATTCCATAAATGATTTTTTAAATGACAATACAATGAAATGAAATGTGATTTTGAATTATTGATTATAGTTACTGAGTAATATTATTTAATATCTTTTAAAGCTCTATTTGAATTAATTTATTAATTTTATTTTTATTTTTTATTTAATGATTATTATTTTAATTATTATTAAGTAACCTGTGAACAATTTTCTATTCAATTTGACAATTTATTAAATGTTTGATTTTATCACAATTTTAATCTATTCTAAGTACAATTATTGATATGTGATTATTACTATTTTTTAAGTGTCATAAAAAAATGCTATTTAATTTGACAATTTACTAAATGTTTGCTTTTACCACAATTTTAATCTTTTTTAAGTAGAATTACTGATATGTGACAATTTTGGATTTTGTAGATTACAGTACCTACCTAATTTGTTTCACACCCATATAGGGTAAAATATGAATGGACATTATAATTATCTAACACCAAATTATGTACTCACATTAGAACAAATAAATTGATTGATTGATTGATATTTATCAAAATATTCAAGGTTTGGCTGGCAAGAATTTAGAATAAGAAACGTTTGCAAAGAGTCAGGGTATAATGGTGGCTTAAGTCTTCAGAAATATCTTTTCATGTCCCGTCTGCTGCCTGGTCCGCGTAGAATTTTTTCTAGTGACATTGTCTTTAGATTTAAACATCTAGTAATAACATGCTTAATCAATAAAGAAAATAACTGCAATTGCTATTTCTTCGTTCAAATGTTTAATACTTGTAAAGGTATTCATTTGACATTATGGGTTACCTACAATCCTAAAAGAGATGGCGCTGCCTTGCAGCTTAGGAGAGGCCTCAGAAAATTCGACACCGCCATCACGGCCGCGGTAGCATAATGGTCAATGCATTCGCCCGGATAGCGAAGGGTGAGGGTTCGAGTCCCGTCTGCTGCCTGGTCCGCTTGGAAATTTTCTAGTAAATTTTCTTTACATTTAATCATCTAGCAGTTACATGCTTATAACATAAAAAAATATATTGATTCTTCGTTCAAATGTTTAATACTTGTAAAGGTATTCATTTGACATTGTGGGTAACCTACAATCCGAAGAGATGGCGCTGCCTTGCAGCTTAAGAAATGCTAGAGAAAAATCGACATGGCCATCGGGGCTGCGGTAGCATAGTGCTTAGTGCATTCGCCCGGATAGGGTGCGGTTTTGAATCAACGAGATTCTTAGGTATATATTTTTTATAACTATTAAATCAAAATTGCAGTGGATTCCTCATATTTCACCTTTAGCTGGCAAACTTACTTCAGCGGCTTATGCCATACGAAAGATGAGGCACTTTTTGATGTAGATACTGCTAGGATTGTACACTTTAGTTACTTTCACAATATTGTATCCTATAGCATTATTTTCTGGGAAACAGCAGCAGATACCGAAACAATATTTATTTTGCAAAAACGTGCTGTAATAGCTATTTATCAACTGAGCTCAAGACAAACTCTCAAAGAAAACATTCAAGAAATCGGGATTTTGACTGTTGCTTCGCAATTTATCCACAATTGTATACTTTTTGTTCGAAACAATACTAACTTTTATCTCAAACACAGTGTCGTACATACTTTTAATACTGGGAATAAAAACAAACTTAAGTTACCATTGTACAGGTTACATAAAGTTCATGGATCATTTATGGGTCAAGGTATACATTTTTATAATAATAATAAATGTTTATTTCAGGCATAACAAACCATATTGAAAATTATAATTACAATTGCATTTTGTCCCATTTTATCTTAAAATTAAATCGTTGTATCACAACTCGTCAATTATTCTTACTAAATTCAAACAATAATAATAATAAACAATCAAAACTATATGACATAGTTTTACACATTACATTAAATGAAATAAATGAATTAATATACATTATTAAAATTTTGCATTGCACTTTGCAAACATTGGCGATATGCAGATAACAGACAGTGTGTATTATATGGACTTTACCATATGTTATTGTTGAGTATATTGATGCAATAATATTATTGTTTGACTCATACAGTCTCCTGTAACGATTTTTTAATCTATTTAACAATACATATATATCGGTTACGTTGTTCTCAGCGAACATGCCAGTAGCACTGCACCGCCAAGGTAAATTAAGATTCCCAGTGATATTCTTGATTTTCCTCTTAATGATTTTAAAACACACATTAAAAATTGCTTGTTTAAGAAAGATAGTATACTGTTATACAATGTCGAGTAGCCCAAAATCGATCTGAGTGGCGTGCATTTGGAGAGGCCTTTATCCAGCAGTGGACTAAGATAGGCTGTTGATGATGATGATGATACAATATTTAAATGATAAAACCACCTAGTTGTAATTGTTACCTTCAGCAATTTTTCAAAGTTATATTCTCAAGAGGAGTCTTGAAAAGAACCTTGCACTTAGTGTCTTTTTTAAACTATCTACTGATGTATTTTGAAAATTGCTTAGGTGCTGGATATTTCGGGCTTTTCTACAGGGTTAATTTTAAAACACCTATAACCTCTTAGAGGGTGATTTTAACCATCAACAGGAAAAACTTTTATTATGGGACCATCGCTGAAATCGCGAAAAAAACTGCTGTTTCATACAAAAGTGCATCAGCTAATCGATAATAGTATAAATCATGCTATAACAATCTAATACCTAATAAATTATTACCTGAAAATTTTAAAAATGAAGAAAATTACAATGTATTTATTAAAAAAAATAAGTTAATGTTATTGAATAAATGCTATTATAGCCTCCAGGTAAACCTAAATGATAAAACTACTATGGAATGAATATAATAAATACTATATTATTTTTATTATAAAAAGATTTAATACAATACTTATATAAATAAATAATCGTACATAAATCATTAATCCCATTGTACAATATCCTATTGGAGTAGTATGAATAGATAATTTTTATAGGTTTTAATTGATTGGATATAACAAATTATATCACAATAAGGAATTATGAATAAGACGTCCTCTCCTCTTCCAGTTGCGATACCCTACATAACAGGGTCCATAATGCACTTTTTATCTGTTAATATTACCTTGGAGGAGCTCGATGGCGCAAGTGGTTAGCGCGTTCGGCTGCGATCGTTGAATTTAAACAACTTTCGCAGTGGTCGGTCATTGGATGGGTGACCGAAAATTTACTATCTCGAACTCCTCCGTGCTTCGGAAGGCACGTTAAGCCGGTGGTCCCGGCTGCATCTGCAGTCGTTAGCACCCGCCAATCCGCACTGGGCCCACGTGGTGGGTCATGGCCCAATCTCCCTATTCCATCCATAGGGAAGGCCTGTGCCCCAGCAGTGAGGACATTAATAGGCTGATGATGAATGATGATGAATGAATTACCACCTTTGTATCTCCAATATGGTCTGCATTAAATAAATTGAATTGAATTGACCGAAATGTATGAAACAGCTGTTTTTTTACGCGATTTCAGAGTTGATCCCATAATAAAAATTGTTCCTGTTGATGGGTACAATCACCCCCAAAGAGGATGTTGGTGTTTTAAAATTAACACTACATATTTATTGTTACCTATTTTACATTATGTGATGGGAGTTGAACACAATGCCTGTATATAAGTTTGATGTCAGCTTTCAATTTGACGACACTGTATGAAATAATACAGGGAAATAAAAGCAGCCCTTGCTGAGTTTCTTGCCGGTTCTTCTCTGTACAAGGTCTCCCGCCGTAGATTGTGCTTGTTAAAGCCTAAACTGAATAAATTAATATTGAATTTGAATTTAACCTGTGTTGGTCCCCAATGTACAGTATTGGGGGCCAACACATCACCACACCATCCCATCTTCATTCCGAAGTTAACCTGTCGCTGGAAAGACTTTTACTGTCTGCATGGCAAAGACTATACTTAGAACTTTTTTCTATTACATTAATAAATATTTTTCATGTTTTCACGCACACCAATTATTTTATAAAACACTTTTTGAAACGGTATTTATAATATGTTTTCATTAGTTTTGCCACATTTCCTTGAGTTAAACTTTGACCATTTACAGGCTCCGTGGTAGATAGATAGATTTTACATTTTTTTTCATTAATAATCATAATAGGGGATGATGGGATACAGTAAACGAAATTCTATTTAGTCCGTTAGTTAGATGATCAAAAAATCATGGACACGTATTTTTTCTTTGGGCAATTAACCCAAAATGACAAAGTTATAGCGCGTCTAAGTTTGGGAGTAGGGGCTCGTGACGTCACTTTTAAGTGAAAATTGTACCAAAACGTGACGTCATGCTACTTTTCAAATCAATATATCTCTGCAATGTCTATATTATGTGAAAAAAGAAAAAATACGTGTCCAATACTTTTTGATAATCTACCTGATAAACGAAGAAAAAAAAATAGTCTTCATCCCTATTTAAAAGCTAATAAAAAACGGCTTTATTCAAAAAGTGTTTCATTAAATCTCATGAAATTAATTAATCATTTAATTTTAGGTTAGATACAAGATATAAAGATAGGTATTTTATGGATAGCATAGTAGGTAAAGTAAATGCGCCCTGAATTTATTTGTTATATAACTAAGAAATACCTACGTTATCTGTCTATATCAGGAGCGGTATTATAAAACAAACTCCAATAAGCCGGCACCTTGACGGAGATTGGCACAATGAAGAAATTGCGATAGCAATAAACGTACCGACAATCGTCGCCACGTTTATCGGGTCACGTTGAATCCGAGAGAACTTATGATGACAATCGAATTTCTTATCGAAATTACATTAGATTATAGCTGGAAAGCCTAGGAATCAATTGTTAGTACTTAAGCAAAATTAAATAAAATATTAATAAACATCATTTATTATTATTAACACTCACTGCAATTAGCCTAACCTAACCTAACCTAACTAAACAGCCATGACTTAGAAGTTACCGTATTTATCATATAAATTTTCCCTACCCAGGGAAATTGGTTTTAGTGCCACTAACACCTCGAAGGACATTCAATTGATATTTAATATTTAGCGGAGTATTAAGAAAAAGTTTTCTTAGTACGTTTTTCGGACACAGCATGCGATTTTATAAATCGATACGAAGGGTTTTGTTTCTTTATCAATTTGTTTAGCATTTCACCAACAGACTAGAAGATTATCTTAAAAATCTATACTAAATTTGTACTTTATTATGATATGCATGTTACTTACTTAATAAATATTTGTCAATTAAACTATTCCTGCTTTTCATTCGCTCCACAGAATAAAAAAAAATATTCGACATCTCAACATTTTCGTTAGTAAATAAATAAAGTATATATTGCATTCCATTTGTCCCTATAACTTACTTGAGCACACAATCTGAGTCAATACATTGTCACTTTCAGTATAAAAATCTTAAATTAAGCTTAGATAATTTAACTTAATCTAGTTATATCACAATCACCATTCAAGTCACATGTAAGATTAAAACTAAGTATGTTCTATCTCACCATTGTTACAGAATATAAAAAAAATACCAACAAGTTATTAGTTTTTGGAATTTACTCCTTAAGAATCGATTTACATATATAAAGGGGCCCGGTATGAGAAAAATGTGAGGAGTAAAATCTATCGATGAATGACCTCGTTCCGTTTTTGGTGCGCATCCTATGTCGCGCAACTTTGACAAACAAGATGACGGGTTGACATTAATAAAATATTTAAAATCTGAACTGAATTTAGATATTGTTTCTGATAGAGCAATGGGGACAACGAGGTGTGGTACGACCATTGATGCGGTATTTTCAAGATTCGTGAACCACGTATTTACGAACGTCCATGTGTCTTATTTTAGTTACCATAAACCACTTGTCACTGTAATTAATAATGCAGACAATGTTGATTTAATTAATATTTAAAAAAAATGATAATAGTCTGATAATAATAATTACATAATTTATCAACATTCCTAATGATATATTTATGCACATCTGAAATTGACTATTGTAAAAAGTTTAATGTAAAATAATTCGTCGATTAGTTATAATAAATGTATATGAAATGAATAAATATATATTTATACATGTATATTATTTTCATTAATTTGTTAATTTACCCTTTCATACAGTATCAATCTTTTTTAAGTTAAATAAACTCTTTTTGCGTCTGGTTAGACTATCGAACTTAAGGAGTAAACTCCAATCGTGCGTCGGAGCTGACACACACAATTTTTTTTTTGTCAAATCATCGTTAGTTCACTCCTGCATGATTAAATCTGCTCCCATTACTATAAAAAACCAACAGTTCTCATAAGTTCTTTATACGAAATACTACATTAAAATCCATTTCGAAGTTTAAATTAACTAAGCGTATGTACATACACCGGAAGCGACTTTGTTTTTAGGTATACATTCCGGCTAACTTAACAAATACAGGGTGTAAAAAAACCTATGACAAAGACTAAAACTACGTATTCTATACGCCCAAACAAGTAATATTACAAAGTATTATACGTGGGAAACATTTGTATTTTTAAGTAAAAAATTTTTTTTTTCCAGTACGCAATTTATAGAGCGGCGTGCTACTGTGGCGCTACGCAAACAATGTGCCTGTGTCTATGTGTGTGCGTGTGTGTAAGTGCGTCGATAAAAAAGTTTCTAAATAACGTTTTTGTAAAAATATTTGAAAAAAAATTGTGACTTTGACCTTCAATATCTCCATAACCATAAATTTCCCAGGTATGGTTCAGAAGAAAAAAATGATCGTCATGATGTGGAACGTACGTGGCCTTCGGCTTCGTTAAAGGTTTTTTTACACCCTGTATAACATACGGGTTATTATGCCCTTTTCTCAGTAGTCGGGGGGGGGGGGGGGGGGGGGAAGTCCTTCGAATATCTCATTATACTATGACGCCTTCTTATCCTTCTGAAGTGGCAGAGTTTCGTCATCGAAGTTCACTTGCCCCACGAGCACGGGCTCTGCACCTTTCTGCTCGTGTCCTTGGTAGTCTAACATCACTTCTTTTTTCTCCAACTCCTCAGCCAACGCCGTGAACAGTTGCCTGGTTTATGGTAAAGTAAAAGGCAGATTAGTTATGAAAATACTACTTTAGCTCAAATTGGGGATGTCTACGTGAGAGTTGATCACAAATAACGATTTTCAAGGCGTTGGTACTGTCAACGCGATGAATTCGTGCTGCTTAGAGAAGATTTCAAATAACTTATATCTTACTTACTTGAACACGACTGACTTCATGTTCTTGCCGAGGTAATAGAGGAACAACCAGTCGGCGAACTGGGTGCCGTTGACAACTCGAATCACGTTGCTGAGGTCAAACTTTCCCGCACTCCGGAACACCATGTCGTTGAAGCGTTGAGAACGGCGATACAGGAAAAACGATAGCGCTCGCCAGAGCACGGCTGCAAAGAAGCCATCATTAGAAATACGATCTGCAAAGAATCCACGTTGAAGTAATAGGTGTTGAAGTGGTAGGAACAGAGATAAAGGAAGAACAACACCGCTCGCCAGATCACGGCTGCAAAAAAGCCAGCTTGAGAAATATGATCTACAAAGAATCCACGTTGAAAAATATGATGTAAGATAGAGCGATAGGAACAGAGATAAACGTAGAACGATACCTCTCGCCAGATCACAGCTGTAAATACAGCTTAAGGAAAAGGGAAGAGATTTAATCTTGCTGCAAAATACCAAGTCTTTGAAGTGATAAGTGATACGACTTGGGTAAAAATTTTGCGTAAGAAATTTGGGAAACTGCTTTGCGTGAGTGGTGACTAAATCCTAAATCTAAATCCAAAGAAGAAATGAGTACGAACGCCGAAAAATGTATTTTCGAAAAGCTTCTTAAATAAATGACTTGCAAAATTTCCCGGATCCCTTTTCAATGGCAACCTCAGACCATGGCATACATGTATCACGTAGAATAAGGGGAATTCACAAAATCGTAAATCAACTTACCTAACAACGAGGCAATGAACAGGAAAAGAAGCCAGAACCAGAGGACGGTGTAGATCTTCTCGTGGATGATGTTGAGCGCCATCACGCACAACGCGTCGTGCTGCTGGATGGACCCGCTCGGACCATACTTGTGGAATATGCATTTTGTTACCTGCACCCAAATATATATTTTGCTTGATTCTATTCAAATGTATTGCAAAACTAAGTTATACATCATAATTACTGAATTGATCTTTCCCATGTCAGCGACATAGTTTTGCACGCTAATATTTAGTATAATCACCAACATCTCAATTCTGTTTCCACTCAATTTTAGATAAAATGGCATTTTTTTAAATTATAAATTTCCTAATAATAATTACAGGGGTGACACACTGTCTGTTACTACCGTTATAACATTATAACATCTCGGAACTGCTGAAAGAAATTACCAGACCCAAGACGTCAGAGCTTCATATTTGCAAATGGAATTGTGAAAGTTTAATTTGAGTGGAGCAAAATTCATAAATTTTACAAATGAACAGTATCTTGTATACCTTCGGGAACACAGTCTCCAAGGGATCAGCGATGTTGTTCCAGTTCCTGAACTCCAGCACCCTGGGGCCGAGGTCGATGAAGTGGCCGTTGAGGAACTTGTCGATGAGCCAGATCTGGAACATCACGTGCAGCAAGTTCACCACTTCCATCGCTACCAGCCACGTCGACCAAGTGCGTGATATCCGTAATCTGAAAGTATATTTAATGCACCCAAATGTACCAAAGCTCACCAAAGATGAGAAACAAAACAGAAAGATTAGCTGAATGTTGAACACGGTCCAACCCAAGCAGCACAAACTATCTGAACATGACTTGATGAATAGTTCTTATAAGTCCACCTTGATTGGACGACGACATCAACAGGATTACGGTATATTGTTTTAAACTTTAATGGTCACTAACATTATAGCTACTAACGGGATTGTTACCATGTACCTTGTTTTTTATGAGTCTCCGATATTTCGGCACTGTTGCAAGTGCCATGATCACGGAGTAACTGAAGTAATTGCGGGTAGATGTTATTGGCAGACATATCGGTGTACCCTCTGACGTCGTCTTTTACTGCGCTCAATACCCCTACATTGGTCACATTCTCACTATTCACTCGCACCTGTTCCCGACACATAATACTCATAATGTCGGAGACTCATAAAAAATAAGGTACATGGTAATAATCCCGTTAATAGCTATAAGGATTACGGTAGTCTAAAAGTATCGTCAAAATTGATGGACGCTGTAAAATCTCGTATAAGGGGCTAGGACCGACGCCGAATGTACCTGAATTCTTTATCACTTTCGTATTTGCTTGCAAATAACTTGGACCGCGCTTCCGTATGGAATGAGTAGGAATATAAGGCTATGACCCACCAAGCTGGCTCAAGGTGGAATGATGGGTGCTATTGACTGCAGATACACTTTATGCTAACGGCTTAATTAGCATTAACGAAATCACATGGGGTTACAAGTCACAAAGAGAGGAAGGGCATACCGGGTTTCCCGCTCGAATCGGAGCGCCCGTCTCTGGAAGTATCCTTCACCCATTTTTTATAGATGGGTCCAACAAATAACTCCACCCCACCTGATGTTAAGTGATGTTGAAGTCCAGACGTGAAGATAGCTGGTACAGTAGTTCTACATTTTTTTGTGTCTAGAAAATGACTTACGCATCCTTCTACCACTGGGGGAGCGAGAAGAAGGTATGTGGGGCTCCTCCCTGTCCTCTTCAGCCAGCCCTAGAGCTCGCTGATGTAAACAGGGCCACTAAAACCAGACAATACTCCTGCACCGTCACCCGACACGCACTATGAGGACCGCGGCCCCCCTAGTGCGTGCCGAGAGGGCGGGTGTGGTCGCGGAACCCGTCTCCGAATGGTCGCGCAACAGTAGTTCTACCTGCCAGACCAGCCTTCTCACCTTGCCGGCCTGCATGTTGCCTCTTCACGCCTCTCTAAAGATCCTAGTTTGTAAGGAGGGAACACGTGAGCAGGCCGAGCATTCCATTTACCTTACTGAAGACACAGCAAAATAACACTACCTTTTGGTATTGTTATATTTCAGTCGGTGAGCAAGGTTCCACACTTCCATAGAGTGGAAAAAACAATAATAAAAAAAAAATAAAAAAAATAGTAGGGGATTGGGTCACGGTAAGAAACGGTGCGAGTGATATTTTGAGTATGGCAGCGGGTAATATGGGGGCTGCTTACCATCAGGCAATCCATATACTTGTTTGGTACACTATTAACATAAACAATTATTAAATAAAACTAGTTTTTTACGGGTTAATGCACGAAACTTTATTTTTTTGTTTGCATAATTTAACATAAGAAGGAGATAGAAAGCCTCTCTTGAGTTTGTTTCGCCGGTTCTTCTCAGAAAGGTCTCCCAATTTTGGACCGGTGGTAGTTTACGGTAGTTAGGGTCAAATAAATAAATTCAAAATTACAAAAAAGATTTTTAAATAAAGTACTTTACTAGATAAATTAAGTAATAAATTCATACATAGACAATAAAACTTTAAAAATCAAACAATTTATTAACCGAACGCTCAATAAAAGTCTTTCGAAGGTAGCTCGACAAAATTAAATAAAAAATTGATTCTGACGACGTAGCCTGTAAAGGCTGCGAAACGTCAATAAATAAATAAAGTTTCGTGCATTAACCCGTAAAAAACTAGTTTTATTTAATGAGTGATGTGCGTGAAAACCTAAGAAACAAATATAAACAATGATTTGAGAAGTTTGTTTTTTTACTTTACCGCAATATGATGTCTTTCTTGATGAGGTTGATCTTGTTGTCGAGGGTCATTCTAGATGGCACCACTCTCCCACCTAACTTCATATCGTTGTCTTCAAAAGCCAAGGCGGCATACTGCAGTCCATCCACTAGAGCTTTTATTCTTCCACCTACACAAAGTCAGAACATTTGGATTTTATAGAATCTTAAATCCTACACTATGCGACTAGGAAACGAAAGGGATGTTGTTGACTTACATTTAAAATACTTTGCTGGATCTACCAATTTAAGAGACTTTTCAACTACCCAACATACAGTTACGTGTTATTTCCTAATAGAATAAATATACTGCGAACAAAAACTTCCTTGCAAATATTTCACCATCATCAACAGCCTATTAATGTCCCCACTGCTGGGGCACAGGCCTTCCCTATGGATGAAATAGGGAGATTGGGCCATGACCCACCACGCGGGCCCAGTGCGGGTTGGGTGCTAACGTCTGCAGATGCAGCCGGGACCAACGGCTTAACGTGCCTTTCGAAGCACGGAGGAGCTCGAGATAGTAAATTTTCGGTCACCCATCCAATGACCGACCACTGCGAAAGTTGCTTAAATTCAACGATCGCAGCGGAACGCGCTAACCACTTGCGCCATAGAGCTCCTCGATTGGTGTGAGTGTTGGAAATATTTATTATTATTTATATATCGAAAACCCCATCCAAGTAGGATCATTAGTTATTGAGATAATCGCAGACACACATACTAGTCAAACAGAGAACATCCTTTTTAAAAGTCTCTTAAAAATAGGTGGAACTAATAATAATAATTAATAATACTGTGAAGAAAATATTTAATTTCATGTTTTTATAACTTAAATGAATTTAAATGATAACTTATTTCGATACTATAAACAAAGCGCTGACATGGAAGATACGATAAACTTATATTGTGTTTGCTTGTTACGAGCGTTTGTCACATATTCCAGGTAGATGGTAAGCATGCATGTGATCCACCTAATAGTAAAGCGGCCATCAAATATTAAAAATTGGCGTTGCTAACACTGGATAAACTTCTTAGCTCATAAATTTTAAGAAACCTGAGAGAGAGAACTAATAGGAGCTAAATCGACGTGTTCCGAACCGACCACCGGAGTTGTGCTACGTTGTAAATGGAATTAAATTAACTAAAACTACCTTTTTGTATAAAAATAACTTTAAATAAATGTTTGAGAACATTACTAATAATTTATTAAAATATTTAAACGGTAGTGCAACCTCGACAATAGGGGTGATGACGGGGTACAGTAAACGAAATTCTATTTAGTCCGTCAGTTAGATGATCAAAAAATAATGGACACGTATTTTTTCTTTGGGCAATCAACCAAAAAATGACAAAGTTATAGCGCGTCAAAGTTTGGGAGTAGGGGCACGTGACGTCACTTTTGTGTGAATTTTCACTTATGTGTGTACTCAAACGTGACGTCATGTGACTTTTCAAATCAATATATCTCTGCAATGTTTATATTATGTGCAAAAAGAAAAAATACGTGTCCAATACTTTTTGATAATCTATCTGATAAACGAAGAAAAAAAATAGTCATCATCCCTATTCTCAAACAAAAAGCAGAGAGGCCTACTAGATCTACAAGAGCAGCGTGTTTTGATATTATCAGTTTTTGTGCATTTAGTTTACATCATGACGTCAGTTTTTTTTTTATTAATTGAGTTCAAGCATGACGTGACGGTTGTTCACTGCGGGATCATTAATGCCCGGTTCCTATATTTGAGAAACGATCCGTTATAGTTACGAATAGTAGTATAATATACGAGGCGTAAGCTAAAACCGTTCCTATAAAAAACGACTCGTCAGGTAAGTTACCGACGGCTTGCTACTAACGGATGGGAGGATTACCAGTGACGGATGGAGAGCGTATTGTACGGATATGACAGTTTATGGCGTTCCAATAATTATTTTTAACGTCAGTAGGCTTTCAAGAATACTATTCGTAACGTCATTCAGTTATCTGCCGATTTCGGTTAGTTAAAGTTTCAATTTCACTGTTTTCGCTCTATTTGAAACTAAAATGTCGAGTTCAGATAGTGATATGGAAGTGCTAATTATTATATCGGACTACAGTGAGACAGAAGAAGATAGTAGGCGTGATAGAGTGTATAAAGAACGTGTGGATTATTTAGCGACTCTAGATTCGTACAAATTTCAAGTGAGATTTCGACTAGATAAAGGATCTGTTGAAGATTTACTTCTTGAAATTTATCCACACTTAAGAGTAACAGGACGCAGGTTAGTATTTTGCAGGCTTCTGTACGCCCTTAAACTCTAACCTTAGTAAACATAGCCATATCGTCAGATCTCATCATATGTGAAATAAATTATTGTTGTTATTTCAGGAATCATGGCATATCTCCACTACATCAGCTATTGTTGACGTTAAGATTCTATGCTTTAGGAACAATGCTGTTATCAGTGGCAGACTTTGTGGGTGTATCGAAAACATCAGCTTGTCGCATTGTCCGTGATGTCAGTTATGCTATTGCTAAACTGTATAGCAAATATATTTACATGCAAACTGACACAGAACAAGAATTTTATAAAGTAGCTAGGTTCCCACGAGTTCTTGGTGCACTTGATGGTACACACATTAGAATACAATCACCATGTAAGTCTCCCTGAAATTAAGTACCTAAGTAGTTACTCACCATATGGTTTATGTTTGTTAGTTCATTACTTTAGTCATTAATAGCTTTTTTAGTTATATAGTTAGTTCAATAAACTTCATAAGAAGTTTATAAAACTATACAATCAATTCGTTTGTAAATCTTATTTATTTAATGTTGAATTTTGAATTATTTTAATTTTTAATTTTGCATATAACGAAACGCACATCTGTGAGTGAAGAGGGCTCGGTATTTGAACGACCGACGGACGCTCGTTGACTGCAGGTATAGAAAGTAAATTGTGGAACGGTATTTACGACTCGTAGTCGGTTGTAGAAAAACGGATAGTAATTTTTACACAATGACGATTCGTACAATATAGGAACCGGGCATAAGTCTAGCATTCATGTATAATAGGGATGATGACTATTTTTTTTTCTTCGTTTATCAGGTAGATTATCAAAAAGTATTGGACACGTATTTTTTCTTTTTTCACATAATATAAACATTGCAGAGATATATTGATTTGAAAAGTCGCATGACGTCACGAGCCCCTACTCCCAAACTTTGACGCGCTATAACTTTGTCATTGTTTGGTTGATTGCCCAAAGAAAAAATATGTGTCCATTATTTTTTGATCATCTAACTGACGGACTAAATAGAATTTCGTTTACTGTACTCCGTCATCACCCCTTGTGTGAAACTTAATCACAAAAATTAGTCTGCAGCTGTATGCTCACCTTCCTTGTTTTTCCAAATGTAATGTGGCAAGTAAAAGCAGATGGACTGTACGAACAATGCGAACGGCACCCACTGGTAGTAGGTGTGATGCAGGACCTGGTCTGTCTCCGATACCGGGCCCACGCCCGGGTGCGGTAGGAACCCGGACTGCAGCAGGCTTTCGTTATAATGCCGTACCTGCGTGCGGCAAACGAAAATTTAGCCCGTCGACAATAATAGTATGAGCTCTTTACCATTAAAGAGCCCGTATCTAAAGCTAAATCTGGTGGAGGGGACGCTTGCAATGGAGGTGATCTTCTAAGATCACCTCCATAATAAGTTAATATTGGGCTCTAGCCCAGGAGCTCAATGACGCAATGGCTAAAACGTTAGGATATTAGACAAGTTTGAGGCAACGATCTCACGTAATTGACTAATTTTTATGGAGTCCGTAAAAAGTGGATATTCATCATTCTGTTTTGTATTTCAGTAAAAATAACCAAAACAAAAACTCCATTATCAAGTTGCCGCGAAATCGTTTCTCTGGACAATATGGCGTCTTACTAGTGTGTGACGTCACACGACTGTTATTAAAACGTCAAACGATACAATGTAATGTCACTTTAACGGGAAGTTTACTTGCGTGTGACGTCATTTTAGGCTCCGCCAATCCCTAGCGTTTTGGGTCTCGTGACAATAGATAAGAAAACTATTATCTTTTTCGAGGGTTTTTAGTAAAATTATGAATATTTTTTTTGTAAAAATAGTAAAAACCCCTGCCAATATTCAATCTAAACACAGATGCTAAATGGGTGAAATGGGATTTTATCAAAATTTCTATTAATTCCTAGAGGGTTATTTGGACCTGTTTGATGTAAAAAAAGTAAATGAATTATAGTTATTATTAAAATAATAAATGGTAGGATAAAATGGAAGGTATAAAATCGGGTTAAAGTTGCGTTATCAATAGCAAATCCACCTCAAATTCAATTAACTAATATATTACCTAAATAAGGGATTACTGAAAGAAGATTAGTAATTACTGTAGCACCTCAAAATGATATTTGAGCTCAGGGTAGAACATAACCTATAAATGCTGTTGCTATTAGTAAAAATAAAATAATTACCCCTACTATTCAAGTTAATTTAAAGTTGAAATAAATTCCTCGCCCAATATGAATATAAATACAAATTAAAAAAAAGATGCTCCTTTAGCATAAAGTGTTCGAATTAATCAACCGTAATTTACATTTCACAAATATAATTTAAATACAATTGGCACTTTATTTTTAATACTGTCTAATACCCTTTTTGGGCATGATTGATTGCACTTGCCAATCTACATTGGGCTCTGATGAGGATCATGACCTGGTCTCCCTATTCCGTCCATATCATTAAGGGAAAACCTGTGCTCTATCGGTCGGAAATTAACATGCTGATGAATGATGAATTCTAGAACCTCTGATAACTATATATTAAAAACTATTTAGCAGGTCACTTACGATAGTGAATGTAGCCATAAAGAAGCAATAACTCTGTATGACATTCGCTGGGACTCCCTGGTCTGATATGCACTGGATATGGGACCCGAAGTACTCCCTCGCGCAGACCAGGATCACGAATGCTAGCAGAATGGTCACCGTCAACTTGTAGTGCAGTTGGAAAACGAAATTCTCTATCTTCGGCTTTGAATATTGGAACTTGAGGCGCGACGAGAGCGCCCCTATCGTCGAAAAAAGCATTTCGGCTTATGAGGCGGTTCTAACTGCACATTTAAAAACCTGCAAAGAGAAATGGATCTAAATATGTTTTATCTTGAAATCGTTTTCGGTTAGTAGGGTGAGACACAGCGTGTTGAAATTCATTTTTGTTTTAGAAAAGACTAAAAAGAATTGTGAATACAACTGTAGCCTTAACACGAACCATTATCGAATTCGAATAGTTTGCGAGTCCGAAATGACGTTGTCAAATTTGTACTGATTTTTAGTTCTAGTAACGTCCGTTGTGGTGCTGCTGTTCAAGTTTCTATACAAAATTTGTCAATGACATTCCGCACTCGCAAACTATTCGAATTCGATATTGGTTCGTGCTAAGGGTACTGCACTCAACTCAAAAATAAAGTAAGAGGACTGATGGACTTATTTAAAAAAGTATTAGTTATTGCAGTAAAAGACAAAAGTTAAGTTTGTTTAGAAACTTCATGCTTAATCAATACTAATATTATAAAGCTGCAGAGTTTGTTTGTTTGAATGCGCTAATCTCTGGAACTACTGGTCCGATTTGAATGATTCTTTCAGTGTTGGGTAGTCCATTTATCGAGGAAGGCTATAGGCTATTTTTTTTTAATTGGGTATCCGTAATAAAATTGCTATTTTGTAACACAAGGTGTAAAATCGAAAACATATTTTTGCGTGCGCTGCAAAAACTACTGACAAAAAAAAAACGATTTTGTGTTCAAAATAATTATTAAATCGTCTGAAGAAAAAAAACTACGTTAAATATGTATCGTAATATTAATCTTTATCAAAATGAAGCATTATGTTATCAAGAGTATTTATGTAGAAGTAAAATACTTTTTGTTTCATCTCAATCGGATATTTCGTTTAAAAGTTATCACGTGTGTAAGATGTTAAGAGTTGGTACCTATTAATCATTTATGGGCCATAGAGATTTTTATCAACATAAAATCCTGTAATAATCTTTTTCGAAATATATTTGTTGATGATTGTAAGTCCTATAAGATCTTTGAAGAGTATAAATAAACGAGAAAAACGCGGGGCACGGCTAGTCCCTTATAAAGTAAAATAATGTTTTCACTTTTGACGAGCAATCTTACGATTATCAGTTTTTTAAGGTTCCAAATCAACAACGAATCCTAGTGGTATATCGCTATTATCCGTCCATCAGCTAAACTCTGTACCCCTAGCACAAACCAATATCGAATTCGAATAGTTTGCGAGTCCGAAATGTCATTTCGGATTAAGTATGGAAACTTGAACAGCAGCGGCACAAAGTACGTAACGAGAACTAAAAATCAGTACTCATTTGACAATGACGTTTTGTTCGTGCTAAGGGTACTGATATTATAGCATTAGACCTTACATTAGACTGCTGTAATTGGTTATGAATGTACCTCAATAATAGTAACATAGAAACAGTGAAAAAAACTACGTTGTGGAGGTACACGACATACAAATTCGGGGTACCATTTTTTTTTCTCGTCCACTACATGTTGTGAAGTATCGATGGAAATATCTTTCAGAGTACTACGGAACCCCATATTTCGCATGGCTTGACATACACTCGCTCAGTTTTTTAATGTGTCACAATAATCATCGATCTACAACATCGATATCAATAAATCCTTTGAAAGATATCAAAGCATAGCGAAACAAATATGTGACGAAATGTACTCCTAAGAACGGCATCAAGGAGAATCAACTAACTTAAGCACCTTTCATATAATTATTTTTAAAACTTTTTTAACAAAAATGCCAACTTGAGAGAGAGGGAGAGACAAACATTTTATTGACCACATTACCTCACAAAACAACATACAAATAAAATTTTAAAAAAACCTTTTTAAAAACAAGCTTTTATTCAAATGCGCTAAAAAGAAAAAAAATTATCCGCCATTTTGGGTGTTCCGCCATCTTGGATTTAGAATGACGTCACACAATTAACTGTGCATTGTCAAACAAACTGAACGCGTTTAAAAGTCCGCCATATTGGATTGAGAGTGACGTTACATTTTTTTCGAGTTACTCTCAGCAAGCCCTTTAATTTAATACCCATATTGTAGGAATGCATTAAAAATGATTGGTCCGCCATTTTGGATATGCCGCCATATTGGATTTAGAATGACGTCACACTGTTAATCATGCATTGTCATCCGAACTGAACGAGCATACCAAATTTCAGCTTAACCGGTTGAGGGCAAGTGCTTTAAAATTGAGTTGTAAGATTTGACCGTAACAAACATACATAGCAAGTTAAATAAAAGCTTGTAAAAAATATCAATTTTGAAAATTACTGGTAATGAAGAAAACGGACAAATTGTTAAAAGCGAAGCCATTAAAACATTAATTATGATTTAGTTAAAATACCTTTTTACAACCTAAATAAATTTAACAACATTTAAATATTAAACAAATTGTATAAATGTAAGAATGATTTTCAAACGAATACGTTTACAAGTATTAAACATTTGAAAGAAGAAATAGCGATTGTAGTTATATTTTTATTTTAAAATCATTTAACTGCTAATTGTTTAAATCTAAAGAAAATTTTGCTAGAAAAATAAATAAGTAAGTAAATAAATAGTTAAATGCTTTAAAAATAAAAAAATAAATACAATCATTATTGCTTCTTTCAAATGTATAAATACTTACAAATGTATTCGTTAGACATTGTGGGTTACCTACAATGCGAAGAGATGGCGCTGCCTTGCAGCCTAAGAAATACTAGAAAAAAATCGACACGGCCATTAGGGTCGCGGCAGCATAATGGTCAGTGCATCGTCCGGTTAGCGGAGGGGGTGGGTTCGAGTCCCGTCTGCTGCCTGGTCCGTGTGGAATTTTTCTAGTAAAATTTTCTTTACATATTTTATCTTTGTCTGTACTTATATCAAATACACGAGCAAATTACATTTAGACTTTTTGGCGGGATCGGGAAGCGCCACTTTAGCAGTTTTGTTTTTCTTGTTAAAAATTGTGTTGTGGCGGATGTTAGTGTCTAATAATGGTGGATTATTAACCACTAAGTATTCGGGAACATGCACAAGTGTTGGCAAGTGAAACAAAATATCTTTCGACGTTCCCTCGAGACGTCCACGGGGAGGTTCCAGTAAATCCCCACACTTTTACTGAAACATAGGGAAAGGGGGATTGACGTGACTGCCACTTACTTTGACTTGATTCATTACTTTGACCACGAGTGCTATAGTATTTGTAAACATTTTTTGTTGGCATCGGCTAAATGTCGCCGAAACCATTTAGAAAAAAAAATACATTTAAAGAATTAATTTTCATTTAATGAATTGAAGTAAGCTGTATTAGTACTACATGTTTGATGTGTTTAGAACAGAGGAATATGTCCGGCCTGGATGACGAAACACCAATATCCTCTTGTACTTTACTAGCTATATGTGTAAAGAAAAAATTACTAAAAATAAAAATCCACGCGGATTTTTAAATCTAAATAAAAAAAAAATACTATTTTTTTTCCAGTAATATTTTCTTATGATAAATTTTAGCGGTAGGATAATGGTGCATTCAACCGTATAGCGAAGGGTGCGGGTTCGAGTCGCGTCTGCTGTCTGGTTCGCGTGGAGTTTTTCTATTAATATGAATAAATAAATAATATAAATAAATAAATATTTCCAACACTCACCCCAATTAGCCTAGCCCCAAAGTAAGCAGTGTAAGGCTTGTGTTATGGGATACTAGGGTAACGTATAGAATACATATACAGTACATATATAAGTATATTTATATAGAAATACATATTTAACATCCATGACTGGAGTAAAAATGCTCCTATTCATCACACAAACATCTGCCCCCACCGGGATTCGAACTCGGGACCTCTCGAGTTGGCGACACAATGACCACGGAGGTCGTCAAATATTTTCTTTAGGTTTAAACACGTAGCATGAGTTACATACTTAAAAAATAAAAATTATAGCTATATGTATGCCAAATTTCAGTTCATATTAGTAAATTTCGTTCAGTGGTTTGAGCTGTGCATTGAAATATCAGGAAGTAAGTAACTAATGACATTACAGATGATTTTTTACATTATTCTTGTGATATCGGGCCTTTAACAGACTTCATAGTCGGAAAATGCACGAGCTTGTGCGTATTTAAAAAGTGATTTAATCTATGAATTGTGTGCGCGTTAACCATAGAATATAAATAGTACTTATACTCATTTGACAATTTGAATTACACGCGCAAGCGCAAGTGCATTATGCGTATAATAATGCTATCACTAAAGTCATGTGACTTCTGTAAATGTTATACAAATTCATTGCAACATTTTTGAGATAAAGTACAAAAACATAAACAAGAACCATAAACATCAGCAAATCGGTACAATCACACGAAAATGAATTAATCTATCAATATGTCATTAAACTGAAAATCCTCACCGATTTTTATTTTCAATTGAGGAGTTCTTACAGTGGATTTATTTTGACTTCATGCACTGAACTATTCTTTTCTCTTGAACACTGAACAAAAACCACGCATGAATGAACACCAAGAATTTTGTTATAATATGAAGACGACTTCGTTCGCTCAACTCACTTTGTCACACTGCCGTATCAAAATGATAAGATACGTACTCGTATATACTTAAAATTGGTGATAAAACAACAACTGTACAAAACCATCAACCACGCAAAGTCCTCTAGATTTATCAAAGACTTAATTTAAAAAAAAAGCCGGCCAAGTGCGTGTCGTACCACGCGCAGTGTAGGGTTCCGTAGTTGCTCGTCGTCACAACTACACTTCTGGACACATCTATTGGCCCACCTTAGAGTTTAGGTTTCGATGGCCCCTACCGAAATATGATTGCTAGATTGAACAAAAACTGTTGATGCAGTTTTAAACCTGATACATTTTACCATCTTTTTCGATCGTATTGTTTTAAATTTGAATTCAAAATACCATACGACATGGAGCTACGCCTAACAAGTCGGACATGCGCCTTGTTAAAGGCAATTGATTTTTGAATAAAAAACATGTTTTATCAAATAAAGGTTTAATTTAATATCGCGTGTTGCCTCCATGGGCATCTACCACAGCTCTCATACGATTAGGCATAGAGTTTATCAACCGCTCTATGAAATTTTGAGGGATCATCTCCCATTCCTCTTCTATGGCAGTTTTCAACTCCTGCATCGTCTGGGCAACTGGCTGACGAGCCCTAACACGTCTTTTTAGCTCGTCCCACATGTGCTCAATGGGGTTCATGTCTGGGCTTCTGGCTGGCCAGTCCATAACTGTGATGTTCACATCCCGAAGATATTCCCTGACGATGCCGGCCGCATGGGCTCTTGCATTATCATGCATAAAAAGGAAATTTGGGCCCACATAGTCCGCGTATGGTATCACGTGAGGTTCTAAGCACTCACGAATGTACCTTTCAGCATTTAATGTTGGCAGCCGTGGTCCTGTAACAACCTCAAGTTGAGTTTTGCCGCTCGCGGATATACCGCCCCAGACAGTCCATGAGCCACCGCCATAAGCAACCCTCTCTTCAAAGCAGCATTGTGCGAAACGCTCTCCCTTACGTCGGTAGACCTTTTTCCTTCCATCATTGCCATGTAACACAATTTTAGACTCATCAGAAAAGAGTACACGGCTCCAATCATGCTGTATCCAATTTAAATGACTGCGTGCGAAATGAAGGCGCGCTGTTCGGTGGGCTCGCGTTAGCTGGCTTGTGTGGTACCATATCGCGTTCCTTTAACCTTCTCCGAACAGTTCGAACGCTCACAGATACTCCGTGGAAGTCTCGAATTTGTTTTTGTATCTCAGTGGAGGTAAGGTGACGATTTCTCAAGCTGATCGTCACGACGAATCGATCCTGCCTTTCAGTTGTGCCCCGAGATCGTGGCCTTCCTTGGCGACGAACAAAGCCGCCAGTCCTTAGGTACCTCCGATAAACATTTCGGGCTGCAGATCGACTTAAATTAAGTTGAGCACTCACGTTTCTTTGGCTGTGTCCGGCCTGAATAAGTGCCACAGCTTGGGCGGCGACTTCAGGTGAAGTATCCATAGATTATTGATAGAACCTCACCTTAATGTTAAGAATAAGTAATGTTTGTTGCAAAACCAAAGATATCAATCACTTTTTCAAGAATTAAATCCAAGTAAACCAATAAAACCAAGTTTTCATAGTATTCGATTGTTTGATAAACAAACAGGCTCCAAATTGTCTTTTGTTTCTTTAAATTCTGTGTTCGAAATTCAAAAAAAGACTATTGAATGAAATTGTGAATGTGCCAGGTTCAAAACTGCATAAAAACTTTTTGCTCGACCTAATATAAAATTTTAGCTAGGACCAAACGAAACTGAAAATACAAGGTGAGAAAATAGATGTGTCCAGAAGTGTATATATTTTGGAAAGAGTGTATATGTTACGCTCAAAAATCGAAAACGCTCAGTGGAAAAATAGCTCACAACGCGTTGTGGTCACAGTAAAACATCCACATGGCGAATGGGGGCCACCCTAAAAGAACACGAAAATTAGCACTTTAAAGTTCAATATTTCGCAAGCGGATCCCTAAATCGAAAAATAGTCTTAGGAACCCAACGATATTAAATACCCTAGATACACCACGTACCCTCAAAATGTGTCCCAATCAAGAAGTGCTTGAACACTTCTCAAACACTTCTTGGTTCACAGTCACGCGCGGATCGTTGAAAAGTCAAGATGCCGCAGAGCTCCGTGAAAAATGCGAAAAAGATACTTATTAATACTAATTATTCAAATGCATGGTCGGTTATACGTCGCCGTATAGCCGTCTGTTTTCCTCACGGTCTGTACTTGCTACATTGCTAACAGCGCATTCAGAATTGCGCGTAAAGTAAAAAAAATAAGGTCTATATTCTTCAGCATATAACAATAAGTCCTAAAATTTTAGCAGAGTTTGCATTTCGAACTGTCATAAGACCTTATTAACTATGCATTACAGGTTACTTTCAATGTTTAAATAATGCATTATATTATTTTTGACCACGCGATCATCTTACGGAGCTCCGTGGATCCCAATGTACCTTTTGGACAGGTTTCCGACTTTCGGCCACGATTTTGTTCGTGTTGTTGTAACTAGGGTATTCAATATCATTGTAGAAACCCCTAAATAAATAAATAAATTTTAAAGGTCCTATTCAACGATACCCCACATCCAGGTTACATGTGGAAGAGCTACCGTATATAATTTCTTTTTGGAGTTTACTCCTTAAGAATCGATTTGCATATATAAGGGGCCCGGTATGAGAAAAATGTGAGGAGTAAAATCTATCGATGAATGACCTCGTTACGTTTTTGGTGCGCATCCTATGTCGCGCAACTTTGACAAAAAAAGATGACGGATTGACATTAATAAAATTTTCAAAATCTGAACTGAATTTAGATATTGTTTCTGATAGAGCAATGGGGACAACGAGGTATGGTACAACCATTGATGCGGTATTCTCAAGATTCGTGAACCACGTATCTACGAACGTCCATGTGTCTTATTTTAGTTACCATAAACCACTTGTCACTGTAATTAATAATGCAGACAATGTTGATTTAATTAATATTTAAAAAAAATTAGTCTGATAATAATAATTACATAATTTATCAACATTCCTAATGATATATTTATGCACATCTGAAATTGACTATTGTAAAAAGTTTAATGTAAAATATTTCGTCGATTAGTTATAATAAATGTATATGAAATGAATAAATATATATTTATACATGTATATTATTTTCATTAATTTGTTAATTTACCCTTTCATACAGTATCAATCTTTTTTAAGTTAAATAAACTCTTTTTGCGTCTGGTTAGACTATCGAACTTGAGGATGTAAACTCCAGTCGTGCGTCGGAGCTGACACACACAATTTTTTGTTACCTACCTGTGTTATTCAGGTCAATAAATGATGTTTCTTTCTTTCTTACCTAAAAAAAAAATATTTCAAAATTTAATTTTACAATTTTGTCGGCGTGATTGATATACAAACTCGTATCTCCAAAAAATTACAGCTCTGTAGCGCTAACAGTCTCGAAGAAAATCCGGGGACGGACAGCCAGACGGACATGACGTTATTATAAAGGTTCCTTGTCAGGACGAACAAATGCAGTGTTTGTTGTATTGTTTTCAAATGTTTGGAACGTATCTTACTCATGAAATGTTGTGTTGTCTCATTGGAAAATAGATCAAATTCCAAAAAAATTAGTACCTATATTTTTTTATGCAAAATCTGTACTTATTCGTATTTTGTAATATTTTTCTGAAATACAACACAGTTCAATTTAGGGCCTGGGTTCCTAACCTGGGGGTAATTACCCCTCCGGGGGTAAATCAGCCATACTTCGAGGGTAACAAAGAACCTAATTATTTGGTCAAATCTAAATAATAAGAAAATACTATATTATAATAATACTACTAAATAGAGCATGCGCTCCTTCTTGCTAGCGAGCCCGCGGGGTGCTGAGTGTGGGAAGCGGGGCGAGATTTTCTCCTGATGATGACATTATTAGAGACGAAGATGTTGCGGCTAAATTGGAATTTCTTGGACTGATGATAACATTTTAAAGTCGGGGTAAAATCTGTTTTCCTAATAGGTTACAGGGGTAGCAGTATTGGAAAGGTTAGGAAACACTGATCTAGGGACTACCAAACTAATTCCAATTTATGTCATCATAAAAGTTGCTTCAAAGTAATCACGATAAGAAGTTGGTCAATCGTTTATCATAAATCCATCCCTTATTTTAATATCAGTACCCTTAGCACGAACCATTATCGAATTCGAATAGTTTGCGATTCCGAAATTTCATTGTCAAATTTTGTATAGAAACTTAAACAGCAGCGCTAAAATGGACGTAACGAGAACTAAAAATCAGTACACATTTGACAATGACATTTCGCACTCTGAAACTATTCGAATTCGATATTGGTTCGTGCTAGGGGTACTGTACCCTTACGTCGATATTGGTTCGTGCTAGGGGTACTGTACCCTTTCAGCCTACTAACGAGTTTTTATTTTGTGAGTAAAACAATATTTTGTTAATAAATGTATACAAATATAGTAATACAAAAATCTAGCAATTCAAATAATTTCGAAAACTTTTAAGTTTCTACAGGAAAATCTGCTTCGAAGCATAATATAGCCCATTGAGTCCGTCAGATTATTCGTCGTCGTCCATTATTATGATATTTTTGTCAATATACCAAAAATTATAAAGATAAAACGCGTCAAAGTTTAAGGGTGGGGCCAATGCTAAGTAAAAAGTGTACCAAAAGGCGTGATTTCATGCGCCATTTCAAATCAATATATCTCTTTAATGTTTTGATTAGGTATAAGATACAATAAAAAATAAGTGTCCAATACTTTTTAATAATATGCCTGATAGACGAAGAATGAAAAGTTAGTCATCATCTCTATTGTCTAATAAACACATTATTTAGATTTTAAGATTAGATTTGCTTATGAATAAGTGTTGGAAATATATTATGTCAATGTGCCAGCGGCCCTTGAGCCTAACGGCATCTTTCGCGACGATGACAAGAGAACTGACGGTATAACAACGCTCATTTCTTGGAAGCAAGTTCGTCCTGTTGTATGGGACGCAACTTGCGTAGATACGCTTGCTCCGTGCCATACAGGTAGTACCTCCCTTTTTTTTTATACGCAGATAAAAAA